GGAATATGGTCTTACATTTAAAGAGTTCCTCTCCATTAATGGTTAATTTTATTTTTATACAATTTAAAATAAATAAATATTTTTTTTTTAATTTAATTTTATTATTGTTCATTTATATCAATAAAATTTTAATTATAAAACAATAACCCCTTATATAGATGCCTCTATTTTTTAAATCATCACAAATTTTGGGGAGAGGGAGCGGAACCCTACACAAAGTTAGGGAAAATAAGGGAGAGTTCTTTTACTTCTCTCTTAAAAAATAAAATAGACAATATTTATCCAATTAATGCCCACTTAAAATGAGAGCTAGTTTCTTTGCCTTTTTAGTTTTTTTGGCCCCTTGGATATATATATTTTTTAGATCCATAAACTTTATTAGTTATGATGATTTGATATTAAAATGAGTTTTTTTTAATTTTTTTTTATTGTACATGCTCTAAGATACCCTTCCATTGAGCCAAATAGGCTAAATGTAAACTCAAGAGTTAGATTTTACGGCTAAATAAGTAACGTTTTGAAAGTTAATTTTAGAATGTAAGTTTTGAACCTATTAAGTAAGAAAATTAATTTCTTTTAATGCATAAAATGGAGTATGTTCTTAAAATTATTTAGAAAAAAAATAATTTTAAAGTCAATGAAAATTGACTCAAAGATATATAACTCAACTGTGAATACTAACAAAATAGAAAAGAAAACCTAAGTGGATAGAATCACATTAAATATATATGGTCTAAGTAAGCAGTGTGGTTATTACCACCTGTATTTTTATTAAGACTGCACAATTTCTTTAAAATTTTATTAGTTCATAAGTTTTTTTATTTGTACAATTAGTTATAATATTTAAAAAATCAGATTATAAATGAATTTAAATTTATTAAATAATAAATATCAATTATTTTATTAATTATTAATTATTTTTAATAATTAAGTTAATAAAATATCAATAAAATTATAAAACCTTAACAAAATTGAGAGACAATAACTACAACCGTGCAAATATAGCTACTTGGACATCCTGGATAAAGATTTTAGGCCCAATTTTTTTAAACTGGATTTTAGGCCCAATTAAATCTTAAAAAAAAAAAAATAAAGTTACAAAATAACTGATTTTTGGGTACAGAAGCAGCAATTTTTTTTCCATGGTCTTACTTGAGAAAGCTCCTAGAAAAATAACTGATATTTTGGTACAGAAGCAGCAATTTTTTTCAATGGTCTTACTTGAGAAACGTCCTAGATAAGAAATTATCAAATATGAGTCTCGGTTCATTGTCAAACCTGATTAGTACTCGAAGATGGTTATGTTCATGCTATCATCGTTCGCACCTAATCCTCAATTACTAACTACCTTTTGATTTAAATAAAAGAAAATTGGTTTTTTTAAAATAATATTTTGAAGTTAAATTTTTAAATAAAAAATAAACATTGAAAAAAAAAATTTATTGTAGGATTTAATATGATTTGATCCTATATTAATTCAGATTTAATATGATTTTTTAATATAAAAAGATTAGTGAAAATAAAAAAAAAAAAAACCTACTTTTCAATTGCCTTGGGCCAAAGTTATGTATTGTAGTAATTATTTTATCAGTGGAAAAAATTTATTGGAGTAGGTGCAAGAAACGTGTAGTTATGATTATTGACGGAAATTGTAAAAGATATTAAAATTGTATTTTTATAATTAAAAATCACATTAAATTTTAATTAATTTAAAATTAACCATGTTAAGCCTTATAAAAGAAGAAACTCTTCAAGCGTTTATTTTTTTATTTATAAAACTTGAATTCAAAATCTTATTAAAAAAAAATCAAAGTTTTTTCCACTTAAATCAATAGATTATTAATTTTTATTTTTAGTAAATTTAATTTAATTTATTGTTTTTTAGATATAAATTTTAAATAAAAATTTAATATATTACATAAAAAAGAATGAAAATTTTTTTAACAAAAAAAAAAAACAAAAAAAAAATTCAAAAAAAAAAATTTTCAATTATTATTCATTGAAGTTGTTAAATTTTTATTAAAAATTTATATTCAAAATATCTAAAAATTGAACTAAGTTTACTAAAAATAAACAAAAAAAATTAAAAACTATTGATTCTTTTTCATTTAATTGTTAAGAATAATTAATAACTAATAAAATAATTAATATTTATTACTTAATAAATAAAAATCAGTTTATAAATTAATATTTTTAGACATCGTAATTATTTGTTTAAGAAAAAATTAATAAATATTAATTAAATTGAATATAAATTTAGTAAATTTAACAATTTCCTTAATACCATAACCAGACTTAGGTAGCTACAAGCTAGAAATTCAATCAATATTAACAATTTGCATGGGGTCATGTGATTTTTAGGTATGGGTGGTGATACAAGAAAGCTTTTTTGTATAACTTTTTTTATATAATTTCTATATGTCATTAAATGGGTTAATGGATTTAATATTATGGGTTCTAAATGAATAAAAAAATTAATTATTTAAATGATACTTTAAAATTGTACAAAAAAATAATAAAAAGGGTTATCCTTAAATCATTTTCATTTAGGTATTAGACTAATCCAATTAAACAAGAAAACCAGGCTTTGGAAATGTTCAGGCCCAATATCTTCTTTGATGTTAGCTCTCTCTATCTGTTAAAATCTAAACCATCTAATTTCCCTAAATCGCCGGATTCTAGAAGCCCATCTTTCCAACGGCCCAAAACACAAAATCACCCACTCTCAAACCCAACCCTTTCCTTATTCTACGGATTCTCGGTGCGACTTCACCTTCCACACGCTACCACCTGTAACACGCGCTCGCTTTAATGGCAGCGGAACTACAGCCGCAAGACCCTCCACTCGCATCCCCCACAGCAACAGCACCAGCACCAGCGGCAGCACCACCAGTGCCACCACCGGTCGGAATAGCAACCGCCGCCACCACGACTACCACCATCACCACAGCAACAACAGAACTCCACTTCTCCCAGTTCGAGATCCCCGGTCCACCCCTAACCTCCAAGCGTCAACGCCGGCCCAGCGTCCGACTAGGCGAGATCGGCGATCAATCTTACGATTCTCACGCTCGACGTCTCAAGCAATCCCACCCTCCCGGGCGCTTTTCTAGAGAATCTACCTCCGCGAAATCCGTCAAGGCCCGCTCCCTCACTAATCTTGTTAACGGCGAAGCCATCCAAGAGATTGAAGATAACAATCAGAACGGAAATGCCAAGGAGAATAACACAAATCTTGAATTTGCCCATCGTAAAGCGAAAGCCAAGAGAGGCACCACGAAGAGAGTACGGTCCAATTGGATACCAAGACACGATGACGGAGCCGAGAACAGCAGAGACGACGGAGACGAAGGGTTCAGGGACTTGGATCCAGACTCAGACAGTCCATTGAAGGATCAGAGCCCGGTCCATTCTGCCGACAACATGGCCTTTGATATGTGGCACCGGAGAGCAGGTTCAGCTCCTGGTGGAGCTAGGGTTTCGGATAACAACGCTGTAGAAATGGATAATCTGCCGGAGTCTGACAACGATCGGAGGTACAGCACGAGTGAAGGAGTAAGGACATGGTTGATTGAGTTGGGATTGAGCCGATACGCTCCCGTTTTTGAGATACACGAGGTGGATGATGAAGTTTTGCCTTTGTTGACGCTGGAGGATCTTAAGGACATGGGAATAAATGCCGTCGGTTCTAGAAGGAAACTGTATACTGCTATCCAGAAGCTTCGAAAGGGGTTTTCGTGAGTCTTCCTTCATTTTCTTCTTTTATACTAGCTAATTCTGTAAACTTCTCCACAGAAGAAAACCCATTTCATGGCTGCAAAAGCAACTCTGAAATGGCTTCAATGTCTGTCTCTTCATCTTTTTACTCCTAACCTTGAGAAAATGGTTCTATGTTTTTTACTGGTTCCGTAGTTATCCTTTTTAAGACTACCCAGTTAATGGAATTTGCATTTCTGTATTTTTTTATGAGATGCATTTTCTATATATATAAATTATGATAGCGTTGCATTTTTATCAATGCATAATGGTATCTTGTATAAATGATCTTTATTGGACAATGTCTTTTTACTAGACTAGATTCTTTTTGTGAATTGCATCAAGTAGCTTCATGTCCTAATCCTTAATTTAAGTGCTTACTGCTCTTCATATTGGGGAATTATTGTATGATTGGCATCTGCGATGCTGGAAGCAGTTTCTCTCTGACATGCCCTTAATTTTGGCACCTTTATATTCTTTTGACCAAAATTTAGGCTTCGGGTGAGCTATGCTGAATCAAATACTTTGATAATTTTTATTTGTGATTAGGTTGATGATTTAGGGATAGAAAATTGGTTAATATTGGGGGTAGGGATGGGTTGGTAGGGTGTTATGTTTTTGCTTTCTTGGATATTCCTCTCATTTAAGCACGGCGCATCAAATGAGCCAGGTGAAGTCACATGGTACCTTATTTGGTCACCGACTAGCTCAAGTCACATGAAATGTATGGAGATATATTTAGCCCCTATCAAGAACTTTGGTTGTTTCTGCGTGAATATGCTATGGGACTTGTTTGGAACTTTAAATTGTAAAGTTTGCTTTGCAAAAGAACGTGGTGCTTGATTGTAATGCAAGGAGAAAGTATCATTTAATACTTTTTTTTCGTGCTTAAAGGGGTTCATCTGAAGAATGATAAAAGAACTCTGAGGTTTGCAGCAAAGAAGTTTCTTTGAAGCTAATGCATTAATTCAGAATCTAGTGTAATCTCTACCCCAATCAGTATTTTTCTTCTATATTGTGGTTCTGTTTCTCATTTCTATTTTATTTTCTTTGGAGAGATCTTTTCTTTTTATGCTTTGCTTAATTTATTGCTTCTTTCTTTCATTTCCCCTTCCTATAGATTAGCATTTCAACTAAACTTTAGATGAGTGACACAAGTCATTCCACTTGTTCATAAGGAGAGGAATAATCTTAGACATTTCTATACTCTTTATGGATAAGGAAACTGAAGTAGGATTTTATACTAAAGGCTTCCAAGGAATTTTTCTTCTTTATGATTAGCAGTTGCTGGTTTTATGTTTTGATTCCCTCTCATGCTTGGTCAGGAAACCAAATTCAAGATATAGTGTTGTGTTTAATCTATGATCTCCTACAATAACGTGGCCTTCTTTTTCTACTTAGTCTCATGCTTTTATTGCTTACATTTGCTGCTTAAAGGGAAACCTAGTTGTATAATTAAATGAACTGAGCTCTGGGTTACCCTTCAGTTCTCCTAATCATAGTATTTTTTCTCCATGTTTTGGTATTAAAGATAAATCTAGCAGTGTCAACAATAGAATACATGCATGCGAAGATTTGTGGGATTTGTCATAACAAAATTGCCAATTGCCATTAAGATATTGTTTAGAGTTTGAAGTGGCAGTAATTTTGAAATAAAACTATTATGTTATAGGTCTTTTGTTCTTGTTTTCATCATTCACATGCTTCTTTTTGTGTCTATTTCGTCCTCATGTTTCAAGTGGTGCTAGCAATTGAGTTGAATCTTAGTTAATTACGGATACATTGGTTCTTTATCAATCTTTTGATTCTGCAGTTAAAAAGAAAGTAGTTTGTGCATTGGGACTTAATTGTTTAGGGTACCAATTTCCTGCTATTTGGTTATGTCGAATTACAATCTGTTGTATCTGGATCATCTAATATTCTCATACTATCTGTTATTCCTGCTATTCTCCTTTGGGCATTCTGTGGATGCAAGCTGGTCCAGCACAAGTTTTGTAGAACAAAGCTGCACAATCCTTATCCCCTCCACAGAGGTAATCTTACTTGCCTTTTAACATTAGTGTCAAGATGGCAGCACAAAAATGGGTTGTACTGTCACTGGTACTGGGCAAAGCTATGGTCTAGCAGGTCTCATTGAGATTGGCTCATAAGTCTTTGCCATGTGATTGTTTTTTCCTCGTCGGAGTGGTGCCATTTGATTTATCAGAAAATGTCATTTTAAATTTCCTCAAGTTTTTCTTGGCCATTTATTGTGTATTGATTCTTATTTCTACCTTCTAAATACTTGTTTTAGATCCATCAATTGTATTATAGAGGCAAATCTTATTCTAAGTTCTGACAAATAATCTTCGTGATCTATTTCCCCTATGATTTATATTCATGTATTCATCACATGATTATATATCGTCTGTCTAGTTTATTGTTGATTGGCGACACACAGGTTAGAACCCCTGAATTTAACCCCAAATCAAAACTTCTAAGTTAGTGAATACGTGAAAACATTAAAATATCCTTTTCTTTCTGAGTTTTTAACTATGACTTGGATTATATTTGGCTTGATGTAATCGCCATTCCATAGTTAAGGAATGGAAATGAGGAAACATAGAACTTGTCATTGCTTCCTTAATCCCTTTGTTACCTATTGCTTATACCAAACAGTCTTGTGAAGTGCAATCCTTCTCATTTCCTCTTGAATAAGAACTGAAAGGCAGAAAAGAGAAATCAATGTATAATTATCGACTCTATGATTTTCGACTTGAAGCCCAACCGCAGTGGTAGTTTGGGCCCTCCTGTTTCTCTTGAATCTGCTTGGCCATCTGGCATGGTTCAATACCACATACATTTGTGTTTCAATTTATGTGATTTATGATTTGTTTTTTCTCATGTAAATTGTTTTCCTAAAATAAATTCTAACATTAATAGACTTATAAATTGTTAGGAAAAAAATTCTTTTTTAGTATTTTATGTCCATTGTCATATAAAATCCTAACTTAGATGACATGTTTTTAACTAAATTAGTACTCAGAGAAACTGAAGTAATCCAAAATGATAAAAAAAGAAAAAAGAAAAAAAGAAAAAGCATAAATAGATCAATTAGTCAATTAATCATCAAAGTTTTTACTAGTTAACAGAAATGAAAACAATCAAACATCAAGCTAATGTTGCTTGAAAATGCGATTTTGGTTATGTTATTCACCCCAAAACCATAAATGTCATTTTGGGGAGAATACCAAACTATTCTCTCTCTCATTTAGACAAGTAAAAAATAAAGATAAAAATAAATGTCAAAACCCAAAATTAGAAAAAAAAATAAATAGAAAAAGAAAAAAGGGTTTCTCCATAACTTATACATGGTAAAGAGGACCTGGCTGGCTAATTAATTCAATCGTGTGTGAAAAAGGAAAATTTCACTTTCTTGATTATGATGGACTCCTACCATAGTGCAGCACCATTACATGATCTGATGTTGATGATGATGATGACGATGGTGATAGTGATGATGATGATGATTCCGGAAGCAAAGTCACTGCGTCTCTTGTGCTCCATATGTTATCCCTTACATGCTGCAGCGTCAAGAAAGGCAGAAGTTGCTGTCCTCTACATGTTATCTCTAGCTGATCCCATCCATCCCCATCCACACGTGTGTGTGTCCACAAAACGTGTTAGATTTCACATTATAAAATATAACTTAATGAAGAACATAATGATCAAAGAAAAAAGAACCAAACAAACAAAATTTGGAAAAAAAATAGTGGATGTTATGGATAACGTGTTTGGTCCTTCTTAAATATTTGAAACAACATGCCTTGAAATTTTTTCAGCCTATTCTAGAAGTTGATTATATTATTGTTTTTATCAGCACTCTAGAAGTTGATTTTAACTTCTTAGAGTCAAGGAGCAAAAGTTGCATTTTATAGGTAAATTTTTTAGTTTAATAGAGTTAAACTTAATTCAAAACTGTAGCGGTTCGTACATATATAAATACTCTGCCCAAATGAAGACTTCACAAAAATATCGGTTATACCAAACAATCTCTTGTACAAAAAGTTTAACTACCAAATATGCTTCTAATTACTTCTACATAAGATAGTTTGCGTAATTCAGATGATTTAAAATTATAAAACAAAGGTTCTTAAATAGAAGGAATATTCCTAAACAAATAGCTCCCTCATTTGATTAATGTTATTTTGTAGTTTGGTACGGTATACATTGCAAAACATTTTTTTTGTTCACCTCTAAGTTTACCTTCATGAATGAATTGGATGGTAATAGAACAACAAAAATCTCACTAGGAACTAACGAAAGACATGAAGGAATGTAGGGACTTAGAAGAAATAAAATAATAAGTTTGTGGTTGAAGTCATGCTTTGTCAGTAGCTTACGTCTGCCCCAATACCTCTGTAACGTTTACTTTACCCTTTCTCTTTTACACATAGACAGATTCCTCATTCCGGTCAGCTGCCCGTTTTTTCCACGATCTCAACTGCCCGGAATTAATCATTCCGGCCCCACCTAGACTTTGCTCGTAAGCCAGAATCATGATTATTCCATAGACTTATTTTTTTAATCCCATAATAAAATATAATTTCAAATGGATCCAAATAGCACGGCGAGGAATAGGCCACTTTTTTTTTTTTTTAACTTTGTTTTTTTTTTCCTTGTAAAAAAAAAAAAAAAAAAAAAAAAGGAAATTCCACTTTCCCATCCCAAACCTAACTGGAATAGAGACCAATCACATCCCATGCACGTCTCCTTCACGCTGTTCTCTCTCCATCCAAACAAAACCCTAATTATGAATGGGTCAATGTCCTAGCTCTCCTATTTTCATTACCTTGATTTAATTCTAAAAATTGAGGTGAGTTTAATTATGGGTCATTGTTCAAACATATGATAAGGATTTATGATCTACAGTATTTTACTATTTTGCATGCATTAATGTTTTCTTATGATCTGTCTTTTTATGCTTTTAAATTTTGTTGTTTTTCAACGACTTTGGAATGATTTTGCTGTTGAATTATCTCTCATGCATTGCTTTCCTCCGACGTAAAATATGTATTGTTTTATTTTATTGTTTTTGTGGTTGGTTGTGGAAGTGATATGATGTGGTCTTTTAATTTCCATCCAAGAAGAAGAAGTGCACCACTTAGGGTTTTGATGGATGGACACTACTTTTGAATCACCTAAAAAAAAGTATTTTTTAAAATAATTTGATGAGATAGAAGAGGCGAAAGCATGACGAAAGGAATGAACTATACGCATGCAGATGGGGTGTGTATGAGAAAGGACAAGATCAATGTGTGATATTATAGGCCCTACCATATGATTCTAAGATTTTTCTTCTTCTTTTTTTTCTTGGGTTTTTGTATGGAACGGAGATAACTCAAAAGTTGAAGATGTTTTTACATGTTAAAGTCAATGCTGAATTTTAAAAAAGGATGACTTTCCAACATGAGGACGCATCATTTTGCTTTTCCTATGCTTTGATTATTATTGCATGCCCCCAGATTCATATTTTGTAAATGGGTTTAGTACGCCTGCACTCGATTTTTCAATAAAATTCATTTTTCTGCTAAAAAAGGAAAATTATTGTTATCCATGTAAAAAGAAATTTCACTATGTTTCTAAATAAAAGGTTATTCGTGGTAATTATCATGCACCAACGAAATATAGTCCAACAAATTCATATCTAACACTAGACTCGGTTATTGCTTCTAAATAACTTAACTCTAGATCTCTATATCATGGGATATATTTAATAAGATATGCATATATTATATGTCATGTCTATGGAAGATAAAATATCCCTTTCGAGGCACACGACATGGAATTGAAATGTTGAATCCTCTAACAACATTTATCTATGAACAACCCATTCATACGATCTGAGCTGGTGGGATATCAATCCCAGTACTGTTCGAGTTGACCTAAATAACTTGGTTCCTGGGGAAAGTTTTATCGCATAAAAAAATGGCAAGAAGAATGTCGTGCACGACATATATACATCCTAAATATACTGTTGTTTATGCCGCTGATGATTAGGTTTCTCAAAAATATTACTACATGAAGAGGCAATAACTGCTGCATTTCGTGCTATATGAAATGTCTTTATTTCAGCTCCTTACTTCATGGCATGAAGTACAAGGAAAGAAAGCACAACAAGCATCTACATGCTGCTCTAACATGGTTTAATTAAAGGTTGATCTAAATCTATGCTAATTAATGTATATCATTATGATTTTTTCTTTAATTTGTGCCCTAAGAACATATGTTAGGGCACATTTATTGCAAATTTTGTTGGTATAAATTCTTCTTAATCTATAGATAACTAACTAATACTTCCATATTAAAACAAATAGAACGGAATGTCGAAGATGTCATATATCCCAAGAACCTAATATACTTTATATTTTTGTAATTAATGTATTAGTCATGGAGAAGACCACAATTAATTAATGACATAACCAACACAATTAATTAAGTGCAATGGGACATGTATTTTTTTTATGAATCGAATATCTATATATTATTGTTATTATATATGTCTTGACTCTGATAAGAAGCCACCTTCTTTTTTTTTCTTTTTCTTTTTTTTCTTTTTTTATCTTGATGAAGTATGTTATTAACTTATTGGAAAATTCCCTTTTTTTTTAATAATAAATTAAAAAAATATTTGAGCTCTATCAGCGGCAGCAGCTAATAGGAGAACATGCTTTTAACAATGTACGTCGTGAAAATGAAATACCTACAGAACATTAAAGAATGAATTTTTTGTAGTAAGTTTTCATTAATTAACGCATTTTTAAATTCGACGTTATCAAACATTTTTCTTGCCCACTGCAACAGCAAATTGCCATATATATGATCTCAACTTCTCTTTAATAAATTGGTACCGGCCGCATGCATGCATGCTTAACTCAGTCCTAGATTTAACACTTTTGCATTAATTATTTTGTGTCTTGCCAAATACTTTAAGTGGGGAAATTCACATTCTTCTAAGGTATAGAAAATACTTAGATGTGGATTTTAGATGTAATTATAACTATAGCTTCGAGAGTAATTTTTATTAATTACACAAACTATAAATAATTCTAGCTTATTATGCAATTTATGAATGGAAACATTCATTCTAATTTATAAAGACATCTACATTAATCCTAGGTTTCTAGATCAACCTACGAATTTTTTTTTTCTAGAGGTTCTGTAGATTTTTGTGATCTATAATCATCTGTCCGTCCATCTAAGCATGCATAGAGAGCCTTTGTGAAAGTAATAGAGTAAGTCTACACATATGAATTATATGTTACATATATAGGGTTTACAACTAATGTCTAATAAAAGTAGTACTACTAATTATTAGGGA